CATCATCATAAATAATATCATTTATAGAGCCCTCACCATGTGCTAGGCATTGTGTCAAGCACTTTATATTTGTTAACTAATTTAATCTTCCTAATGTCCCTATGGGATTGGTTAAATTTTTTTCATTTTACAGATGAGAAAATTGAGACACAAAGAAATCAGGTAATTTGTCTAAGGTCACATGGTTATTAAGTGGGTAAAATGGGTTTTGAATCTAGCAGTGTGACTCCAGAGGCCGTGTATTTAACCACTAGGTTACTTTTCTGGGAAGTGAATAATTCATATACAGTAAGATGCATTAGATAATCTATAATACTCATTAGCCAGCAATTTCCAAACATATATAAATATATTTAAAATTTTTATATTTTTACTTATTTTATTATATCTTAGGTTAAGAACTCTAAAGAAAAATTTTGCAACTTAAAAATCTTTCATTTAAAACTTCTGAAGAATTACCTGGTAAGCCTGAGATGAGTCTACCTTAAAAAGGTATATATATATGATACACATATACAGTCATATGCCCCCTAAACCATGTTTCCATCAACAATGGACTGAAAATACAATGGCGGTCCCATAAGATTATAATGGAGCTGAAAAATTCCTATCGCCTAGTACACTGTAGCCATCATAAAGACACACGTTACTCATGTGTTTGTGGTGATATTGGTCTAAACAAACCTACCGTGCTCCAGTCATATAAAAGTATAGGAAATACAATTATGTACGGTGCACAATATTTGATTATGACAATAAGTGACTACGGTAGTTACTATATTTTTATCATTATTTTAGAGTATACTCTTTCTACTTATTAAAAAAGTTTGCTGTAAGGGTATGCCAGGTTGCACTATCAGCAGCCTCGTACACCTCGTGTTTACCCTGTCTCTTGATTGCATCATTTTCTCTTGTGCTTGATTTAATCTCGTGTTGTTTTGTACAGTGACATGCTCTACAGGCTTGTAGCCTAGGGGCAATAGGACATACTGTATAGCCTAGGTGTGCAGTAGGCTGCACCATCTAGGTATGTGTAATTGCACTCTGTGAGGTTCTCACAAGGATGAAATCACCTAATGATGAATTTCTTAGAATACATCCCCACCGTTAAGTGGCATATAACTACATATACATATACCTCTGTGACTAGTGTAAAACAGTATAATCTTCTGAAAAAGTGACTGCTCAATCACATTCATTGCAAATTCTTAAGGGCTATACAGATGTTCATCTGGCTGAGATGACCTACGGTTACTTCTATTGAATTAGGGTATTTTTTTCTCTAACATCTACCTTTTTTTCTTTTTCTTTTTTGTTTTTTTTAAGCTGAGCCGTCCTGCCACCTGCTGGCAGCTCAGCGGCTGCTCAGCTCGGGCCGGGAATCGAACCGCTGTTGCTCAGAGCTCAAACTCTTGAGCGAGCTCTTAACCAACTGAGCCACTCGGCCGGCCCTCTAACATCTACCTTTAACATCGCCAAATCAAAAGAATACAATTAATTTGTAAAACTTAACTGTACACAGTTCAAAATAAAAAAGGGACAAAATAAATTTCCTTGGTCAAAACTGGTTTAACAGGACACACTCACAACTAAATTTATTTTAAAAATAATACCTTAACAAGTTAGAGAAGTCACATATGAAGTTGAAATGGATAATATTCTCAGAGACTAAAGTCATGCATTTAGTTTCACTTGTAAAATCTACATAGAACTTCTACCAAAGTGCACAGGTATACAAGGTTAACAGGATTTACAAAAAAAAACAAATAACAACGCCAGGCAGCTGTCTATGCCTGGGTGGATTTACACACAAAACGATTAAACTCATGACCAGGAAAGGTTATTAAGTCATTTTTAAGCATATACTATTTGTCAGGTACAATGCTAGTCACTTTGAATCTTTTACCTAATATATTGGGTCGTCGGGAAAGTCATGACGTATTTTTCTATGTTTTTCAATGCAAAAATGCGTCATGACTTTCCCGATGACCCAATATTTTTCATAGTAACAATCCTTGATAGGTATCATTCCCATTTTATGAATAATAAAATTCAGGTTCAGTATCTCCAAATAGCCCTATAGAACAGAATTCAAACCCAGGTATATATTGCTCTTTCCATAATTCTGCACAACCTATGTATATTAAATAACTAGTAAATTTACGAGCCATACCAAAAAATCTGAATAACTTGGTGTCATGTCTTAAAATAATTTTGAATATTTTTTACATGTATTCACATAGCTTATATTCCACTGTTTTCCTCCAAGCAGATCCTCAAAATCTTTCAGATACTCCCTCTATGTTGACTTAGAATTTTCGTTACTACAGTTACTGTTTATTGAGCACCATGCATCATAAGAGGTGTTCGACATGCATTAACTCTTTAAGCAATCGCAACAACACTATGAAAATATCTTCCATTTTACAAGTGAGGAAAACAAGTTCAGAAAGGTTAAGTAACACAGAGGTGACAAATGCAAAGAAAGAAATTCAAGGTCTGTACAACTCTAGAATCAATGGTAATGCTATTACTCCAGATGGAATATTTTTTCAAATTGCAAATTCCTTTTCCCAGATCATTTCCAAAAAGCAAATATGATAGTGCCAAATATATATCAAGGAATGTCCACATTTATTTTCCTATTTAATCCTAATACTTCTCCGAGGAATGGGGGGCAATGTTTATTAATATCCTATTGCACAGGTAGAAAAAATGAGGTTCAGAAAAGTTGTGAAGTGCCTTTTCTACAAAGCATGTTGCTGTCAATCCTCTGGAAATAGAACTTTCTGAAAACCTACACATATATAAATTCTTCAATATTTTGTTTGTATATATCACTAATTTTACTCAAAACCAAACACAAACTCCAGTGAAAATGAGTTTCATTGATGAAAGGAAGGCTCTAACAGTATACACTTATTCTCAATTCTATTATTTATGTTCAAAAACATTAAAGGTTTTCTCTCATCTTATTTTTGAATTGTATTATAAACTCAGGAAGCTAAACTTTAAATTTTAGTGATGCTTGCAACAACTTTTGACTTAAAGTCTACTTTTCGTGACATCACTATAGCCACCTATGCTTTCGTTTGTTTACTATTTGCATAGAAGACTGTTTTTCCGTTCCTTCACTTTTAGCTTGTACATCCTTAAATATAAAGTGGGTCTCTTATAGATAACATACAGTTGGGTCTTCTTTTTTTATCCCTTCAGTCTCTCCTTGTCTTTTGACTGAGTTTAATCCATTTACATTTAAGGTAATTACTGACAAAAAAGGGCACTTTATGTTGTTTTCTGTTTTGTAGTTGTTTCTTTATTCTTGTCCTGCTGTATTCCTTGGTTATTTTTTTATAGTGATATTCTTTTATTCATTTATTTTTTTATTTTGTGTATCTTCTGTATGTATTTGTGTGTGTGTGTGGTTACCATGTGGCTTGTTAAAATGTCCATACTACCCAAAGTGATCCACAGATCACCATTCCCATCATTTCATAGCTATCCTCATAAAAATACCAATGGCATTTTTACAGAAAAAAAAAATCACAAAATTCATATGGAACCACAAAAGACCAAGTAAGTGATCTTAAGAAAGAGGAGCAAAGCTGGAGGCATCATACTTCCTGATTTTGAACTCAATTACAAAGTCATAGTAATAAAACAATATAGTACCGACATAACAACAGACATACTAGTATAGCAATAGAAAATAATAGGGCCGGCCGAGTGACTCAGTTGGTTAAGAGCTCGCTCAAGAGTTTGAGCTCTGAGCAATAGCAGTTCGATTCCTGGCCCGAGTTGAGCAGCCGCTGAGCTGCCAACAGGTGGCAGGATGGCTCAGCTTAAAAAAACAAAAACAAAAAACAAAAGAGTGCCTAGAAATAAAGCAACACATATACAGTTAACTGATTGACTTATGATCAGGGTGCGAAGAACACATAATGGGAAAAGGACAGTTTCTTCAACAAATGGCATACGGAGAACTGGGCATTCACATGCAAAAAAATGCAATGGAACCCCTACCTTACACCATATACAAAAATCAACTCAAAGAGGACTAAATATTGAAATGTAAGACCGGAAACTGTAAAACTCCTAATAGAAAATATAGGGGAAAAGTTTCTTGACATTGCTGTAGGCAATGATTTCTTGGACATGACACCAAAAGCACAGGCAACAAATACAAAATTAGACAAGTGGAACCACATCAAATTAAATGGCTTCTGCACAGCAAAGGAAACAATCAACAGAATTAAAAGTCATGGGAGAAATATTTGCAAACCATATATCTGATAAGGGGTTAATATCCTGTCTATTTGTTAATAATAACTCAAGATGAGTAAGTCCTAGGGAACCACCATACAACATGGTGCCTATAGTTAAACAAACAAAAAAGGGACACAAGGAAACTCTGGGGAGGTGTTGAATGTATCTACTACCCTGACTGTGATGACAGCATCAGAGGTGTTTGCTTATGTCCAAATTCACCAAATTGTATATATTAAATATGTTCAGTTCTTTGTGTATCAGTTATACCTCAATGAAGCTGTTAAAATAAAGAAGTAGTGATACATGAACGTGTGGTTACTCAATCAAAGGGGGTAACCAGGGCTCCACAGAAAGTACACTGTCAGTCCTTTAGCTGGAATTACCCCATACATGAACTCGGGTACCATGAAATCTCAGGTGAGTTAAAATTTTCAGTGATATTACTTTCATATACTTCCACCAACTTCTACCTTAGTTCATGAGCTGATCTCTTTATTCATTTTTAGCGTTTGGACGTTGGAAATCTGCCCCAGCCTTTGCTGCATTAATGTGAGTTCAATTTGCATTGTAACCCACTGAGGTTCTATGAAGGAGATACTAGCCCCACCATTTAAAAATGTCTACAATAATACTGTAATAACTATGTGTGGTGCCAGGTGGGTACTAGACTTATCGGGGGGATCACTTTGTAAATTATATAAATGTCTAATCGCTATGCTGTACACCTGACACTAATATAAAGTAATATTGAACATCAACTGTAATTGAAAAAATTTTAAAAACCCAAAAACTTAGGAATGGTAAAAAGCTGTTTTTTAACCACTTATCTAGTTGAGAGGCACAGTTGGGGTTAGATTCAAATCCAAGCTTTACCATTTACTGGCTGTGTTTATCACGGGCAAACCACAGCAGTCTCATCCCTAGGTGCCTAGTCTGGAAAACTGAGATGACTTATAGCTACCCTTGCTCACACAGTTGTTGTGAAGATCAAATAAAATAGTGTATGTAAATCACCAAGTACAAACAATGGTCCTTAGTATTACTACTTCAATTCCCTTGTTTTAAAAACTTTAAAGATGACACTAGATGGGGATGGGAAGGAAAACAACAAAACAAAACACCATGCCCCCTCAAAAAACCTGCAAAATTTCATATACTATACAGATTAGAGCCAAATACATTTTCTTCTATCAGGCTCATTTAAGTGAATTATCATAGCTTGAATGTAACATACTAAGATTTAAGATATTAGTACAACAGAAAAAAGACTGCATTTCATTGAGACAGTTTTGCTTCACATGATACCTTACTTATTATACTAATTCTTAATTAATCAAGAGAGCCATAGTTTCTAGATTAAGTTGGTTACATCTGAATGCTAGAAGACAGGGAATTATTCAATCCTTTAGTCAAAAACGCACTGCTTTGTGAATGACAAAAGATTAGACATTGGGAAAGAAAATATTTAAGGCTCATCTTGGGAACCAAGAAATTTGCATTTCATAGAAGGGATTTAAACTGCATTGGAATATAAAGTGAGTAAACAGTTGCAGAAAATTGCTTTCCTGGTCCACTGCCTACCAGATACTTATCACCCTTTGCAGTAGCGGTTTAGTAGCTGGCCCTGGACACTGTATATCTTAGTTGGGTAGCCAAGGAACAGAAAACAAAAAGCCAGGCTGTCCTATTATGACTTCTTTTTTTCTTAATTTAAAAGTACTCTTTCAGAAAAAGATTTCACTACAGAAACACTCTCTCAACGGAGGAACCATACCTTCATTCTTGAGGACCATGATACAACTAAGATTTTTTTCTTATCTTTTCCATTTTTATCTCTTTGGCTACAGGTAGATATGGATTAGCTGATAGCAACAGTCTTGTCAGGGTTTCTTATTTCTTATATCCAGATAGAGTTAGGCTTTGCGTTGTTTTTGGGGGTCCTTCGTGTATTCATGTATTTTTTTTCTTTCATGCAGTCATTTGACAAACATTGTTATGTCTGCTGTGTGCTATAAAAGCAGAGGTAAACAAGGCCCTCAACCAATAGAGAAAGACACTTAAGAAAGTCATTGATAACTCAGTTTTTGTTAAGTGCTACAATAAGGATATGCCCAGATTATGGTGCTTGGGCTACAAAGGTAAAGAAATATATTCTGGGTGGAAGAGCCTACACAGAATAGGGTGAAGATGAGGAAATCCATAGATAAGTGTATCTTATCTATGTTCCCTTGTCTGATCGTCCATCAATAGTCCAGGTGAGCTCGTTGAGTTCAGGAACCCTGATTTACCTCACTCACTCATGTTCAGTCCTTTTTTTTTTTAATTTTTAATTTTATTGTGGTAAGAATACTAAACAAGATCTCTATCCTCTTAATAAACTTTAAGTGTATAATACATTATTTTTCACTGTAAGTACAATGTTGCACAGCAGATCTCTAGAGCTTATTCATATCACTCAACTGAAATGATATGCCTGTTCATTAATTCCCCCTTATCCCCTGCCCCATCACCTCGTAATCATTACTCCAGTCTTTGATTTTATGAATTTGACTGTTATAGATACTACATATAAGTGGAATCATGCAGTACTTGTTTTTCTATGTTTAGTACTTCTGTGGAGGCAATCCATAGAAATATAGCAAATGCATTTTCTTGAATATCTATGTCCCTCACAAAGACTTGTACACAAATGTTCAGCATAACTCTGTTTCCAGAGCTTCCTGATTTCCCAGTTAAACAGTTAAACAGTTATAGAAATGTTGGAACATTTAAAGATCATTCTAAATTAACCTCTGCATCACCCTGTAGGTAAGAAAACTGAGCTCCAAGAAGGAAAAATGACTTAAAAAGGTTATACAAATAGTAGTAGAACCAGGGAGAACTCACTTTCAGTTAAATGATTCATTTTTTTTTCTTAGTTGAATTAACATTTTCCTTTGTAAAATCTTTTTTTAATTTTAAAGAAAAATATATTGTAAGGAAGAAGACCTAGTTATCTTTCATATTAAGTCCAATAACTATGACAAGATTGTGGGAAATATAGAAAAAAAAGGTTAAGAAAATAAACAATTGCTTCTATCCAATGAGAAAAGACAACTATTAACATAGTTAAAGGTTTTACTCTTTAAAGATAATACAACATAAGAATTCACAGGAATAATTATGGACAGCAACAGAAACCAGTCCTTCTCCAAGGGAATGGAAATAATCAGACACTAGGCCAAGATACTACATATCTGAAAACATGCACCTGATCTCAGATTTAACCCACAGGACAATGTCTTTCAGAATATCACTTTCTGAAGTTCCCCTTTGACACGCTTTTTTTGTGTGGCCTTTGTCATAGCCAGTGGAAGGTATAGACACAAGTAATTTTGTGGTACTATTCACTCGAGAGATTTTCTATGGCAGCAAAACATTTTCTTTGAAGTTCGTATTTGTTCTTTTCACCAAGCAGTAACTTTTAAATGTTTTTCATTTGTCTACACACACACACACACACACACACACACACACACACACACACACACACACACAAAACCCCAAAATACTAACTTCCACTGAGGATACATTTTTTTTTAAGCATTATTCATTGTTGACCTTCAAAAGCTTATTGTACAAAAGGTCATTATGTAACCTACAGCCAGAGGTAATCAGTGATCGTGTAGTCTAGCATTTCCCCCACTGGTGTGCGTGTGCACCTGAGGATGACAGCTGAGAGGGAGTGAGGGAAGCTGAGGAAGACAAAACAGGAGGGGGAAGATGGACATAACAACAAACAGTGCTACTCGCTCAATTTCATTTAGGAAATTCTGGGTTACATCGATAAATATTTAATGAGCACCCCCTAATGCCAGGCTCTCTACTAGATGCTACAGCAGAACAGGTTTATGCCAGGATCTTTTAGAGCTTCCAACATGCTTGTGTTTACGATGACTATGATGACCATATGTCTTGGTTTTCCCGGGACAGCCCTGGTTTACAACTGTCGGTTCAGCATTAATAGCACCCCTTTGTCACTCCTGTCATCCTACCTATGACTCTGTAAGTTGGGGAGGAGGGTGAATATTGTGCACAGATTTTCCCAAACTAATATGAACAATGAAATACTTGTATTTATATTTCTACAACCATCTCCAAGAACAGTGGTCCACAGAATGCGGTTCGGGAAATGCTGATCTACTCCAGTCTCTTCATTTGATAGCTGATGGAAACTAAGGACCAGAGGATCAGACTCAGCTAGAAAATGGCTGAGATAGAAGCAGAGCCTAGTACTCCTGGCTCCTATCTCCGATGCATTTTTCTGATCTATCACAGATTGCCATACTAAAACACGCAATATAAAGTCTAAAAGTCCAATTATTAGATTGCAAGTATTATATTTTCTAATACAAAAATAAGTCACCCACTTTTATAAATTCAATTTAAATGTAGTTTGTTTTTTTTTCTTTTTGACTCAGAGCAGAATTAGCCAAAGATGGAGTCAATGAGAAAAACATTACCTTGTAGTCAACTCTTGAAGCTTATAAGCTAAGTTTACATATTTCCTATTCTCTGCTTCCCCTCTACTCACCCTCTAGGTAAATGTGAGGTAACTGATTTCTTCATATCTTCAAAGTTTTAGTGGCCTCAGTGGCCTCACAGGTGTGTGTTTAGGGGGTGGGGAAGGCGCTAATTTTATCAACCAACAAACTTTCCAGTACCTACTATAAAGAGCTCTGCTATCTTTTATTCCCCTCTATGGTTCCAAGTGTTCTTTAAAGTAAGGTATTATTTTGGGGGGCCATTCAGCACCTAAGAAAACTCTAAATAAATTACAATACAATTCCCTTGGTTTTTTTTGAGTCTCTGCACACTTACTAACAATGGCTATTTTCTGATTCTATTTGCACCAAAAGATATAGCCCTAGAAAAAAATCAGGCAAAGAATTCTATCTTTAAAAATAAGTTATTCACATTTTGGGTCATACATGGCTGCTGCTATTTCTAGCTAACTGTTATGCATTTTAGGTAACGTAGGTAGTTCTTTTAGAGAAGAAGGAGTGAATGATTATATAATCTTTAAAAAGAAAGTTATTTCTTATGTGCTAAGAAATAGAAATAGCCTTTTCTGAGGAGAAAAATGTAAAAATACCAGTTAAAACAGGGTTTAAAGTCTTGGGAAATTCATTTCTGTACAGTATATCTTTTTGCTCATTATCAAGAAAAGGGAGTTAATATTAATTAAATCTTACTCAGACAAGATAACCAGTCAAGCATATGAAAAGGAAATGATGAGGTGATTACGGCAGAAGAGCATTTCTGGAGCGAGTCTATTCTTGGATCTGTAGACGGTGACATGAGACACGTGTGACAGAACATCCTTCTCATGATCAGATGGGACGTTGTGACGGTTACAGAGCTTTGACTTTTGGAACAGAGCACTCTCTTCTGTGATTAAAAAAAGGCTTGCCCACGATAATTTATTACTATTTAAAGTGATGAACTTATTCAAGTCTAACTATTGTACTCAATTAGAACCAGCTGGGTTTTGTTGTGTTTTTTAAAAAAGGAATACAGTTATTGATCATATTAAATGTTTTCATTGAGAGGTTGACACAAACACTCATACAGTTTATCATGGATGGTCTCAGAAGCTTTCCTGTGTATGAGAAACAGAACTACAGGCCTTTTTGTATAAGTTGCTGTATAGCTTATCCATGCTGTTCTCAAAGATGGGTCGGTGGGATTTTCCTTTATAAGAGGCTGCCCTGTTGGACCAGTATTCGCCATCATCCAAATGGAGAGTACCATGTGGCCGCTGAAGTGAGCTATAAAAAAGTATATAAAAGATTAAAACAATGGTGAAACTAGATGAGTGGTAGTACTACATAATTCAAATACAGAGTACTGCATGGGTGTGTCAGCCTATGTTTGGGCTATGAGAAATAAAAGACAAAAAGGCCTGTGCCTTCCAAGAGGAATGCTACTTACAAGAAACAATGACAAAATACTAAAATGAAAACTGTGTATGAGAGACACAGTTAAAAAGGGATTCAAATAAAAGAGACAGGTGTGGCATGGTAAAAGTAGAGCACGGGTGGTGTGGTGTGGCCGGTTACAACAGTGCCTGGCCGCTCAAGTCAGGCAGGCCTGGCACTGAATTACGCTCAATCCTTTGTCAACTAGGGACCTTGGGTGATTTATTCAATCATCCAGAGTCTCAGCTTCCTTTCCTGAATTTTTGCTGTATTGTTTTAAAAGTCAAGGAGAATATATGTAAAGTGCATACTGCAGTGCTTACCTTGCACACTGAAGCTATTAAGTATAAGGCACTGAACTACTAGGTAATTTATATATATTTATCAAAAAAACCCTTACAACCCTTTGAAGTTTGGAACTGTGGAAATTGAGACTCAGTGAAGTAAAGTAACTTCCTAAGATTACTCAGCTGTAAGCGGCAGAATGGAACGGGACGCCAGATTTGTGCCTCTAAAGCCCCTTCTACTGTGACATGCTGCTATTGTCCTCAGGAGGAGGAGAAAATTAGACTGAATATGAACCGCTTTTGGAAAATTGAAAACAAGGTAGAAGAGTCTGTATTTGAAGTGATAGGATCCACTGTAATTTTGAGGGTTTTGAAGAAAAAGAGAGAGAACAGATAGGAAGTTATGAAATAGACCAGGACCAGATGGTTGTAATGGGAATAAAGAAGAAAAGGCAACTCTTTCTGAAGGCTTTATAACCAGAGTTATAATTTTACTATCATAAACATAAGACTAACCATGTCACTTGCTAGAAATAAAATGCTTTCTTTCTCAAAGACTAAGGTTATTTTTTGAAATAATTGATTGATTTACTTCAAAAAATTAAGTACTTGTTATAGATAAGAGCTCTCAGGCATGTCAGAGGTTATGAAGTTTGCACTATATAAAACTATATGGGCTTCCATGTCTTGTTAGGGAGACCACTGCATAGACGGTGTAGAGGCCTGACCACCGCACTGTATATCTGAAGCTGATGTTGAATAATAATGTATGTAAACTACAATTATATATACATATAGTCACGGGATGTGGAGTAGAGTGTAGGAATGGAGTCAATGGAATTGCATTGTTCTGTACACCTGAAACTAATAATAATAATAATAAAAACCTATATGGGCTTTTTGAGCTTCTTTTGCTCAGCCCGCTCCAAATTCTTTGGAGTGTACTTTCTTTTCTAATAATGGCCCTTGAGCCATTCTCTACTGCTCAGGCCCACTTCTGCTTCTTTGAAATGTATTTTTTCTTCTAAAAAACTGTCCTTTTCCTGCAACTTAAAAAAAAATTTAAAAATAAAAATAAATAAAACTACATGTCCTGGCTATTGGATGCTACACATATTTTCTTCATATATTTGGAATCTCACTTCTTCCCTGACTTATCAGTCCTATGATGTTACTACGATTGTCAATTGTGAAATAGAAACTCTTGGAGCTGTATATCTGTAAGAAGTATTTGCTATTTGGTCTGAAGTCAATCTCAACACTGGAACACAATTAAGGTGACCAGGAACAAAGGCATTGAGTGGCTATGTCATCATTCCTAGAGCTTGACACAGTGTCACAGATGTACAGTAGTGAGAACACTTAATACACATACTTTGGAAAACAGTTTGACATGACCCAGTAAGGTCGAATATGCAATTTCAACCCAGTAATTCCACTCCCAGGTACCCCAGTGAAACTCCTGCACATGTGTACCAGGAGAGATGCACAAACATGTTCATAATAACGCTCTTTGTAATAGAGCTGAAAACTAGGAACAGCCTGAATATCCATCTACAGAAGAACAGATAAATTAAATTGAGGCATATGCATACAATGGTATTAGTATACAGGGAAAATTAATAATCTAGATCTATATGCATCAACATGGATGAAATTAAAAATCAACCAAGAGGAAAAAGCGAACTTCAAACAATACAGTTATAATTACACTTACATAAGGTTTAAAACAAGGAAAATTAAATCATTTATTGATTAAAGATAGATATTAATACATGTGTGATATAACTAAAGAAATCACAATAGCCATTATCTCTACAGAAAGAGAAGCAATTGCTTATGGGCATAAGATGGCTTCACAGGTATGGGTTATGTTCTAGTTCTTAGGCTGGATGGTGAGTAAGTGGTTATTCATTTTTATTTATTTATTATTTATTTATTTATTATTCTTTAGGATGATAAATCTTAAAATATTTTCCTTTCTTAGAGTTGATACATTTTATATTCAGTTTTTTAAAATTCACTTCCATGAACCACAACAATGGGTCTTTGAACTTCCTGATGGCTTTGCTAAAGTGGGTTCTGTCTCATATTTCCTACCGATATTCACTAGATCCTGTCAAACTTTCTTTACATGTGATACCACCTCCTTCACTCTAGAAACATTTGAAAATTATATAGTTTCTGGGATAACAAAGGTATTTTAAAGCATGATTACCATTACTTCTATCTTGTTAGTTTCAGAGAGGTAATTAAAAAAATTTCTAATAATGTCAATATAATTAAAAATTTTCAAAAGGCCTTAGCCAAGTTTCAATGCTATTACTTTGGTATAGTTACATTTTTTTTCATTGCCTTTGCTCAAGAAATAGTCTAGCCCACTGAATACAATTTATTTCATGCCATTTCTCACCAAGCCTAACTTCTGTTGTCATTTAAAAGTTTTTTTGACAATTTGAGTCAAGTGATAAAGAAATGACACATACAAATACATTAACAGAAAGTTTTCTGCATGTTCATTGTATCTGTGCAAACATACCTACCAGTCTAAGTCCCCACATTTGCCTCTGTTCCCTCATACTACTTTAGGAATTTCACATGTTGTGTCTGCTTGGTTGTATTTTGTTTATGTGTTTTGCAGCAAGTCATGCACTAATTAATATTTCACAAAACACAAATTTGTCCCTATCTCCCTGTTGTCTACAATCATCAATTTTACCACACACTGATGGCCAGATAATAATATCCTTTTCTAAGCTCTATTATTTTGTTTAGTTGCCAGACTAGTGCTATTACAATAAACCTACTCAACAGAAGTTTGAATTTCTAACACACACCATTACCAAACTCTCAGAAAGGTAAGCAGTAGGGCTGCTAACTTCAAATACCATTGTGTAGGTTTTTCTGAGATTATAAATCAAATTCCTAATCCCTATCATAAATTATTATATTTAATGTTACCCGGCATAGATTTGCTACTATTTTGGTTCCATCAGACAACACTTCTTTTCCTGTCTCAAAACTACCTTAAAATACCACCTCAATAGCATGCGACAAATAAATAAAATTCAGAAAGCTTTTTAGGAGCAACTGTGAACTCAATAAGGTTTTGTAAAGAGCTAAAGTGACCAAAATAGACATTCTAATGCTTTCAGATCTTGCAAAATTTAGCGGCGAATTTATTTCTATTTAAAGTTGCAAATTTTTTCAATTTAGTAAACAGTATTGTGGTTCTCTGGAGAGAATTTGGGAATTGGTTCCACCTGGAAATCTGAATTGCAAAACAGAGATGTGAACACAGAATGGGTTCTAATATGCTTCATGGATAGATAGGTACAAAATCCTAAAAACAAGCATTTCAGAATCCTAAAAACAATATTTAGTTCCAGACATGGAAGCATTGGCTCTCTAATTAATGCACTCTGAACATATTAAGGCAATTCTGATTTTGCATTATTGGGTATATTAAGTTTAAAATGTGTGACGCCAGAAAGTCTTATTATGGCAATAGGCTTTCAAAGACTACATTTCTCTGTTTTACCTCTGTTTTATCTTGAACTTCCATTCATTCAAAGCATTTAGTAAGTTCCTACTACCCTCTACATAATACTGTATCAGTGCTATATACAATAAATTGGTTATCTTCAAAGCAGGAATAATACTGTTATTTTATTAAATGCAGTGCATTTATTTTAGCAACTTATATTCTTGCTACTTGAATAGGGAGCCTTCTATTTAACTATGACAAGAAAAGTATTCAGAATCTTGGAGTTCAGAAAAGATGATAGAAAGAGGTTATATTATGGTCTAATAAAATCTAAAAGGCATTTTGTACCTTTAAAGATACCATACATAGGTAAAATGTCATAAAACGTCATTCAAGACATCAAAATTTACTGATAAATTATAGCGAAAGTTCTCAAATTTTAATATGCATCAGAGTCATCCAGAGGGCTTAGTACAACTTGGATTATGGAGTCTCCCCTCCAGAGTTACTAACTGAGCATGTCTGAGGTGGGGTCCAAGAATCTGAATTTCTAACAAGTACCAGGGTGCTGCTGCTGGTCTAGGAACTACATTTTAGAAAGCGCTGGATTAGAGGCTTGGTTTTCGACAGAAAAAGAAAACAAACAAACTTAGGGAAAAAAATTCCATGTTGTCATTTATCTTCTTCTATTAATTAGCAGGAACTATACAGTAAACATTAAAAGACATCTATTCAAACGAATTTACTGAAGACTGGTTACTTACAGCTTACTTACTTATAGCTTTCTTTCCTTTCCCTGAGTAAAAAATATGTAGAAATAAGCCACTGACAACAAATAAGGCCTAACAGTTTTCATAATTATTAATTCCACTATTGATTCCTTATCTAGAATGTTCTTAGATATCACAATCGCAAAATGAGTTTACTTAAGCAATGCCTTAGAATTTCAGCAATGCAACTGACCAGTACTAGTAAAGGACCTAATTTCAATATTTGAACAATTTTTAAAAATTAAGCTCCTAGTAAATTTCAGAGACCTTGATAGGCAGACAAAAGCAAAGGTAAGTAAAACATCTGTGCCTTTAAGGAGCTCACAGTTAATTGGAGGAGGCAAGACAGACATACAAGGAAATAGTTATCATTGTGAGATATTACTAATTGAAATGATATATGTGAGAGGAAGTAGCAGGATAAAGGAAAAATGCCTACCAGTCTGTTGAGGTCATGAAAAGTACCTCAGAAGAGGGAATAACTAGAACTTAGTCCTAAAGAATGAGTAGGCCTTTACTAGATAAACAAGAAGACATGGGTTATTCCAGTCATCATATTGTAACAAAACCAAGGCATGAAACAGTCTGGAATGTCATGAAATGCCTCCCCATATGTGCATAGGTAAGAATAAAGTAAGATTTAACTATTAAGAGTCAAACAGATACAATTGAAACTAATAAAAAAAAATTTTTTTTAATTAAAAAAAAAAGAGTCAAACAGAACTTTATCCTGGAAGTAATGAAGGAGCATACAATGGGAGGATTATGATAGGAGATAGAGTTAAGATTATAATAAAGTCTCCTTAACCTCAAATATTACTTTTAGTGTATAAATGGGTAAAGAGGACAAGTTGTCTTTATTTAAACACACAAAAATAGTATTTTAAACTGATATTTTAAGTCATCCCTCTGGTTTCACTAATGCAGGTTAAACAATATTATCATCATGTCCATAGAGAATATCCCATTTGTATTCATTATTCTTTTCTGAATTCCCTAACTTCCAGTAAAAACAAACAAAAACAAAACACACAAAACGACAACAAAAACACTAGACATAAAACTGACCTAATATGGAGTATAGCCAGAATACTTCAGAGTAGTCTCATAAATAAATAAAACAATGAAGTATTTTTTTATTCCTAAAGGCAGGTATCACTAAAACTAAAACAACTACAATTTGAGCATAATATTACTAAATATGACTTATTATGGCTCCTAAAGCTAACTTGGGACTGAGGCTAATAATCTTTCACATGTCATCATTTAGTCAGCGGTCCACCCACCTAATTAATTATATCTAGTCAAGACCATAATTGCATACTTGCTTATGAGAATGTCATAAAATCATAACTCTTACGGAAAGTTACATTTAATGTATTACTTTCTCATGATCTATTTAAAAAATAAATTAGGCTGGCAAGAATTGCTAGTCATAAAACCCTTCTGGTTGTCTACTGGTGTTCTTTGAGGAGGCTATCAGTTAAACATTGGACATGAACTTTCCAGACACCAGGCATCGATATTAAGTTGGCTAGTCTAATTACGAAGATCATATTTTTGTTTTTAAAGATGAATACAACACTTGTTTTCTAATCATGAGAAACTTTCTAGGCCCCTAAGCTACAATTTTTACACTTTGAAAAATCACATAAATATACAGCAACCCAAATTTTCTGAATATCAATATACCTTCTAGACCAAATTTTTTAAAAACCCAAAAACTAAATCTTAAATATTTAATAAAAAGAATTTTGTGATACTTGAGATAACACAAAATTCAATGAATTCAAATTATAATTAAGCAACATTTTCTCACCTAAAATGAAAGTTTATTCTTAATTATGCAAGAGACTTTAAGTCTATATTATTTAGACTTTTTTTCTTCCATTTGTTAATACTAATGATGGCTTCTGGCTATTGGTTACATCTTAGTAGATTCATCAAATTAATCAGATAGTGACCAATGGGGAAGAGATGAAAACTAAAGTTAACCCTCTGTTATTTAAAAACATAGAGCCAAAATTTAACCTACTCAGTTTGAGATTCTGTTACAAATAATTTCATAATTAATGCATTGATGTTGAACATATTCCTACTGTTAGTAACCCGAGAAAATGTGCATAAGCATAGAGAAAGAGTTTATACCAATAGCTAATTTCATAAAAAGAACAACATGGCTCAAAATTTTGTGCAATAGTCATAAAAGGCCAAGTGGTCTTCTAAACATGAACTTCCAATTATTTTTATCCTTATTTCTCTCTTTTTGTGGTCGAGTCACATTTTTATGAAGCATCACCTCATGCTTCATCTTTAATTAGGACTAATGCTCAAATAAGATCATGATGCCAGAAGTACTGAAGAAATTTGAGATATACATAGAAGGCACTAAGCGCAGGGAAGGAAGAGCATCCCATGGCCCTGGCGGGCGCGGGGGGGGGAGGGGGGCACAGGCGGGCATGGCAAGGCTACCATATTTCTAACGTCTAAAAGTTTGAAAAAGGTAGGCAATATGAAAGTGAGAAGGAAGTCTGTGTGGGTAGTAGATTCTTTTCCCAATCCAGCTCCAAAATCCAAAGTAGTGAAAATAAAAGGTCACCTAAATAGCTCCTCGATAAGAGATTTCTTCCAAATCAATTTCATACTCAAAGCTGGTGGAAGACATAGGACTACTAGCATGGATATATAAATACATCCTGAAATATGCCCTGGATATGGGGATTTGCAGGGAAGCCAAATACGCTAAAAGTCTTAAGTAGGATGAAAGCATCACCATTAATTGGCTATATTTGTTTTCATTGAAAGTTTCAGTAATGCAAACATTCAAATATTTTAATAGGATTTTACATAGGTAAGTGTTTTAAATATATATAAAGAAATAATTAATAGTTGCTAATTTGAATCTAAATTTCCTACAAATCCAGCAGATTAAGAAGCAGGTTATTTTTATATGAACTATGAGAAAGATCTCTATAAACAGAATTAACCAAGCCCATACCTATACTCGGGGTCACTGTCATAGGCAGAGTCTCTGTATAAAAGACCTCTTTTCAGTTCCAGCTCTTCTTCTTTCTCTGGGTCTCTCTCATCCTGAAAAAGAGTAAAAATTTTCATTAATTCATTTTATAATTAAAATGATGCTTATATTTCATTGGGAAATGCTCTCCTCCTCCCCCATTATAAGAAATGGAATTAAAATGTTTGGATGTCTTAGGAAAGAGACAAAGGGTAAGTGAGAAATTATTATTCTGTCCAATAAAGCTAATATAGTTTTATTATATTTTTGTTAATACTGGACACCCCATAGATGTTTCTTGAATCAATAAATGAATGGGAATGGATACTGTGTGTCAAGATACATAAGACGATGTGGCTATATCTTGCATATTGTTATATGAACTCTCACCAAGTGGCACCTGCACCCTGAAGGATAAGTATCTGGGAGAACTACGTAGCTATAAGCATTCTAACACGCACTTAAGACTTACAAAGAAGAGGATGTAGAATAGTTACTCATAAGTCAAAATGCAATAACAAGCCACAAGAGGCAAAAATGAAAGCCAAGCTAGTTGGAATCAAAATACATGGGCAGCTTGTTCTTCTAACAGACACATTCAAGGACATATTAAATAAGACTCCAAAGAGATAGCTTTATTAACTATATCATTCACAGTAATTATGTTCTTAAGGTATGGTATTTTATATAATTGAGTGTCAAATAGCTTTCTCATCTACTGGCCAATACCCTTGTTACCTAGTCAAACTGGACCAGAAATAAAGAGAACAGATAAAAGGAACTAGTAAGTACAAATAGCTAGCTATACAGGTTAGTATTAATAAGGGCTTCATTTAGTTTATGTAAGCATCAGCTGGCCATAGGTCACGAAGAAAAATGATTTTTAAAATTTGCTGATGGCATAAAATTGGGAAGAGAGCATTCAGTTAAAAATATAAGCAACACATAATGGAGCAAGTTAAAAAAAACACAGAAAATGTGAAGGTACATTTAGAATTATTAGAGCTTCTAGGTGAATTGAACCCTTTTATCATTATGAAGTAACTCCATTTATTTCTACTAATGCCTTTTTCCCTTAACTTTTTGATTTACTATAAATATAGCTACAATGGCTTCCTTTTAGTTAGTGCTTAGATGGTATATATTTGTCCTTTTATTTTAAACCTTCCCTTATTATTAGGTATTAGATCTTTTTATTAAATAGAATATAGCTCAATGTTGCTTATTTTTGTCCAGCCTGATAAGTCAATAAAGTGGAGCATTTACTTTAATATCTCAGATAATGTAATTGTCTGTAATAAGTGCAAAAGACACTACAAAAGAGGTATAAGAAATAAAAAATGTAATGTTTTCAACCATAAGAAACAGATTATGTTGCAAGAGCAACAAAATGAAAGAGATGTAAATAATATTCAAGTTAAAAATTCTATCCCTTGGAAAAGTTACTAATTTCTAGATTATATAATAAGTGGTATCAGATATAAACATAAATCAACATTCCTTGTTTATCAAGGTATTGTCAATACAGATGAAAAAATTAACTTTTGACCAAAAGTAATAAAAATGTTGCCTAAGTATTTAAAGTTTTTATACAAAAAAAAACCCATATAAAAGTATCTTTTTAAAAATCTGAACCTCAATTATTATTACATAAAACCTATACTTTGAGTTGGCTAATTACTATCCTAGACTCTGAGGATAGAAAGATGACTAAGACATGGTTCCTGCACATCTGTGGAATAAAGTGTGTTTGTTCTATGAAGCTCTATGGATAGAATGGACCAAAGGATAGAATTATTAGGAGACATAGTAAACAAGAAAGAACTTTCGAATCAATTGAAGCATTCTAAAAACAGAATGGCTGTCTTAAGAAGGAGCAAGATCACAATCATTAAAACTATTCATGCAGAGTTCTGATACACATCTGGATCAAGGATTTCATAGAGAGGAATTCTGCCCTGAGAAACAAAAAGGACTAGATGACCTTAATGGTTATTCCCTTCAAATTTTAAGACTCTTTTGTGACATTTTATATATATTCACTACACATACATATTTCTTATAAGAGTCCTTGTATAGTCTTTTTTCAAAGGTCAGGTTCTATAAAAGCAGAGAGGCAACAAACATCACATCTTACAAGGTATTGATCAAGCAAACATTTGAAGAGATGTATCATTCCTGTCAGTGCCAGAAAATACATTCCCGGGGCATGGAGAGGCAATTCCCTTCTTATTCCTCACCAGCATTCCCATTTGTACACATGTAAATGCAGAAAAGGATGGATGACACCAGTATTTTTTAAGTATCTTCAAGATATCTAGGACTGAGTTAGGTATTTTTTTTATATGGATATTACTCAAGCCTTCAATAACCTTATCAAAAAGGTACTGAAACTCAGAAAAATTATATAACTTGCCTAAAGGTACAAGTTGTTAAATGGTAGAGCTGGAATTTAAATCCAGATCTAACTTGACTTACCTTATACTGCCTCCTAGAATGCAAGTAAACTGGACTATGAAATCTAAACCTCCATCCCAAGCCCTCAGGTTATTCTCCTGTATGAAAATTAAGCTTAAACTCTTTCAGCTAATATCTATTTTGTTTTTTATGAAAGTATTGTTAAATAATATAGTTCAGAAGAAACTTTTTCAGAATTTCCATGGAGAAATATTTTTCTTTCAGCAAAAGTCATTAATAAAATGAAACATTGTTAAAGAAGGCCGAGGCTTTCCTTCCCTGAATGGGCAGTAAGTTAAATGTTCTCTTAAGATTCCTTTCATCAATGATCTCCATCTTACACATGCAATTGACACCATACTTAGAATATCCCTGGAACAAAGAAATAAAAGATATCTACTCATGCTTGAAAACTTAAAATTTTAGGACAAAAGTGGTTAGAGTCTAAGACAAAGCCAGAACTAAAAGGCAGCAGTCTCACTAATTACATAGTATTTAAATAAAACATAACTTTTATTCAACATAGTTCTGGAAGTTCTAGCCACAGCAATCAGACATGAAAAAGAAATAAAAGGCATTCAAATTGGTAAGGAGGAAGTAAAATTGTCATTATATGCAGACGACATGATACTATACATAGAGAACACCAAAGACTCCATCAAAAAACTGTTGAAACTGATAAATGAATTCAGTAAGATAGCAGTATACAAAATCAATATTCAGAAATCAGTGGCATTTGTATACACCAATAACAAACTATCAGAAGGAGAACTTAAGAAAACAGTCCCATTTACAGTTGCTTCAAGAACTATAAAATACTTAGGAATAAATTTAACCAAAGTAGTAAAAGACCTGTACTCAGAAAATTATAAGACACTGAAGAGAGAAATTAAAGAAGATACAAAAAAATGGAAACACCTACCATACTCATGGATAGGAAGAATTAATATAGTTAAAATGTCCATACTGCCTACAGTAATATATAGATTCAATACAATTCCTATCAAACTACCTAGGGCATTTTTCACAGAAATAGAAAATACAATCCTAAAATTTATATGGAACCATAAAAGACTCCAAATAGCCATGGCAATCCTGAGAAATAAGAACAAAGTTGGGGGAATCACGCTACCTGACATCAAATCATATTACAAGGCTACAGTAATCAAAACAGCATGGTACTGGCATAAAAACAGGCACATAGATCAATGGAACAGAATAGAGAGCCCAAAAATAAATCCATTCATATACGGTCAATTAATCTATGACAACGGAAGCAAGAATTTACATTGGAGTAAAGATAGTCTATTCAATAAATGGTGCTAGGAAAATTGGACTGACATATGCAAAAACATGAAATGGATCAACTCCTTACGCCATATACAAGAACAAATTCAAAATGGATTAAAGACTTAAATGTAAGACCTGAAACCATAAAACTCCTAGAAGAAAACAAAGGGAGTAAATTTGCAGACTTTACCCTCAGTAATATTTTTACTGATATATACCCGCAGGCAAGGGAAGTAAAAGAAAAAATGAACATATGGGATTACATCAAACTTAAAATTTTTTTCACAGCAAAGGAAACCATCAATAAAACACAAAGGAAGGCTACTGAATGGGAGAAGATATTTGTCAATGATATATCTGATAAGGGGTTAATATCCAAAATTTATAAAACACTCATAAAGCTCAACACCAAAAAAACAAACAACCCAATTAAAAAATGGGCAGAGGATATGAAGAGGTATTTCTCTAAAGAGGACATATAGATGGCCAACAGGCATATGAAAAAATGTTCAACCTCACTGATCATTATGCAAATGCAAATAAAAACCACAATGAGATACCACCTCACTCCAGTCAGAATGGCTATCATCAATAAATCAACAAACAACAGGTGCTGGCAAGGTTGTGGGGAAAAGGGAACCCTGCTGCACTGTTGGTGGGATTGCAGATTGGTGCAGCCATTATGGAAATCAGTATGGAGGTATCTCAAAAAGCTGGAAATGGAACTACCTTATGACCCAGCAATTCCACTCTTAGGTATTTATCCAGAGAAACCCAAGACACTAATTAAAAAAATATATATGCACTCTATGTTCGTTGCAGTGCTATTTACAATAGCCAAGACTTGGAAACAATCGAAATGCCCATCAGTAGATGACTGGCCTAAGAAACTGTGGTACAGGGGCCGGCCGAGTGGCACATTGCTTAAGAGCTGGCTTGGGACGCCAGAGGGCCCCGGTTCAGATCCCACATATGAGGGCCAGTGACACTGCCCTCTACAGCTAAGATGCTAAACAACAGCTCAACCTGGAGCTGGGCTGCCGTGAGTCACCGGTGATGGCGTAGGCTGCAGCCCCTGTGGCAGTGGGTTGCCATGGGCTACCGTGTGTAGCCAGCAGCCAGCGTGAGCGGCCAGCAGCCGCTGTGAGCGGCCGTCCAGAAGCGGGCGACTGATCTGCCTCGCCCGGGGAAGAGTGCAATGATGGTGCCAACTTGGGCCAGTGAAGCAACGTCCTCCACAACTAGACTGAAGAACAAAAGGACACCAACTTGTCTGTTCCCCTTCCCCCGATTCCCCAGCACTGTTCCCATACCCCAATTCCCCAAT